TCTCTCTCTCTCTCTCTTTCTCTCTCTCTCTCTATCTATGTAGACAAGCCAAGACAGGAATCCTTGTTTCACATGGGCGCGCACACAAAGCTGTTTGCTCGAGAGAAGCTTGAACAAGGAAGAGACATGATCCATGTGTTCTTCCTTTTCCTCATGTTCTGAGACTCAGAGAAACATAGCTGTCTTTCTCATGGTCAAGTGATCTTGTCTCTCCCTGAGATTTCTGCTCATTAATCCTCTCTGTATTCAACACCTTCATGTGGAAATGTTGGCATTGTGTGCCACCATCTGATCAGAGGTTGAGCAATTTGTCTCATCTTAAAGAGCATTCAATCAGATCAGATTCCAACCAATGGCTTACCAAAACTCTCTTCTCTCTCTCTCTCTCTCTCCCATACTTGTCCATTATGAAATCGAGACCACTAAAATAAAAAACATAAAGACACTAAGATGCTTACAATTTTTTCTTTTTGGGATGAGAAATTAGACTTTAGAGAAAGGAAAAGAAAGAGAGACTCAAGTGCAATGCATGGGGCTGCCCAGCTAAACTACCAGACATATATCCATGAGTCAAGAAGGAAGGCTCCAACATAACTTGAATCTTTCTTTAAATATTAGTATATGTTGGGAAAGAGATCATGATGCTAAAAGAATGTAGAGACTCAACAATAAAATACAAATCCATAGTATTTATATTATGTCCATAAAAATTTAAATGTTTTTACTATATGAGAATAAACTATAAGTATTCTTAAAGTAAATTAGACAGACTCAAGAACAAACCTCTTATGCATCTTCTTAGATAAATCAAAAGAATTTCTTTCCTCTCTTTGGATAAACTTTAAAAAAATACACAAAAAGTACTTTTTTTTAATATATCCTTCCTCTAGAGGTACATATAGTAGTTGTAGAACTAAATTACAAATTTTCTTTCTTTCACATAAAAGCCTTTCTATATTTATATATATTTTTTCCTCCTTTTCATATTCTTCCCCACGTGAGGATCACCACTAACATCGTTGTTGGGTAAGCTATTCGAGAGGATAGTGAAGCTAAAGGCAAGGACGAAACCGAAGGGAGGATGACGAAGCTTTCACAAAAGTTACCCTTTTGTGAAATTAATACATATGAACAATAAGGATCGAAATTATCTTTTTATCCTTTTTTAGCATCATTTATATACGTGACAATATGTGTGACATCTTTTGTCAGTAGAGTCAACAATGTGAAAAAAAATAAAATTAAATGTTTCACTTTCGTAAGTATAAGGATGCATTCAAACACGAGAAGAAATATCAACATCGACATTACAAAGTTTAGTTAAATTCGAAATTAGCCATCGTTTCAAAAAACCCAAATTTTTTTTTCAAAAAATCATCCCATATACATTTTACATTAAAATTTATGATTGTAAATATTTCATATATATATATATATCCTTAAAATGATTATACAGATGAATTATTTATTTTCCTTACTTTTTCTAGATAAACTCCAGGAGCACTCAATGTATTTTTTACGTTTATTCCTAACAAAGATCCAAACATACATAAGATATTTATAGAATAATTATTTTAAAAAAAATTCATATAAAAGTCTTTCTATACTTATATTTTTTTATTCTCCCAGCTTTGACTTCATGAAACTATAAAAAAAAAACCTATATTAACCCCAAAAATATATCTCACTTTTTGAAGTAAAAGAACTGCTTTTCCCCAAAAAAAAAACCAAAAAAAAACTCAAAAGAATAAAGAGAGTGCTCCCTAATTGTGACACATGATATCCATCAAATCAGGGTACACAAGCACAAATATACAACAAAATGTTGAGGTGCAATGAACTCAAAACATTAACTTCACATAAATTTGTCCACTAGCAACAAATCAAATATATGAAAGCGTCATGAAAGAAACCAGAAAGTTTGAAATTGCTTCATGGACCAAAATAAATTAGCAGTCCTTTTAAGAAAAGGAAGTCTTAGCTGTTTGATTAAATTGGGCAAATGAAAATATCAGGAAAAAGAAAAGGTAAAAATGTAGTCAACCTAGAGAGAGAAAGAGAGCAGAAAAAGGTGATGAATGAATGGTATTGAAGGGAAAAAAAGGTGTGTGTGTGAGAGAGAGAGAGAGCCTGCATACTTTTCTTTTGCCCTTTCCATTTATTTGGCCATGGCTCACATAATTAATGCTCTAAACACAACACCAAACTCATCTGATGCGTTTGGTGCCACGAGCAGAGGATCGAATGCTGGCCTCCCATGGCCATAAAGGTAAGTCATGGCTCGGAATCCCCATTGCCATACCTACGTGGAGCTCCTCCCCTTGTTCCTCCGTTAAACCCAGAGGTAGGTTAGGAAGGAAGTCGCAGAGAGAGGAGGAGGAGGTGGCCGAAGACGACGAGAGTAAGCAGAGCATTCGAACAGGGCAGAGGGAGATGTCCGAGCTCGGGGACGCCGCAATCAAGCTCTTCGGCAAGATCATCACTCTGCAGTGCGGCGGAGATGAGGAGAAGGCACTGCAATCGAAGGTCTTCTCGTTGAATCGGCTATGTATATGGGTATGCGTTCGTCTCTCTCTCGAGAACAGATGATCATTGCGTCTCCTTCCAATTTCAGGATTTTCGAGAGGAAGAGAATGCTCCTGAATCATCGGACTCGCAGGAAACTAACGAGCACGAATCGACGAGGAACTCGACGCCCGAAGAACGACCAAGTGATGCAGGGGGTTGGAAGGAGAAGGCGGCGAGGAAGCCGGAGAAGATCCTTCCTTGTCCTCGGTGCAGAAGCTCCGACACCAAGTTCTGCTACTACAACAACTACAACGTCAACCAGCCGCGGCACTTCTGCAGAAACTGCCAAAGGTACTGGACCGCCGGCGGCGCCATGCGGAACGTCCCCGTCGGAGCCGGCCGACGCAAGAACAGGAACACCTCTCACGATCGGCACGTCGTGCTCCGCTTTGGCTCCGAGGCCGCCGGAAACATTGGCGATGAGCAATCCAGTAAGGAGTCGGAGGGGACGGCAAGCGTTCCAGTTCCGTTCTACCCCGCTGTAGCTGAATGGAGTTGCACCGTTCCGCCTGGAGCTTGGAGCACCCCATGGCTGTCCCCTGTAGAGTCGTCTTCTCCAGAAAGCAGTTCTCCCACCATACGCAAGCGCTCGAGGATGGATGATCCTGAGGAAGCTGCGAGGAGCTCGGTTCTCAAGGCCTTCCAGCGCAAGGTGGACGTCAAGGATCATGGAATGGAGGCACCATTGCTGCTGCATGTCAACCCTGCAGCTCTCTCACGATCTCTCAGCTTCCAGGAGAGCTCCAAGAGGAGTGCTGCAGTAGGAGAAAGAAGAAGTGGTCTCTACTGATGTAGGAGGTGGAATGGTTAGTCTTCACTTGGATTATGAGAGGAAGGAAGACATCAGCCGAAAGGAAAGAGAGTTTTGCTTTGATTCGTTACTGATTTCTGCATCTTATGAGACAGGGAATGAGATCTATTTCTTTTGAGTGCCAAAAGCTTCAGGAGAGTGGAAATTACTGTTACCTCCTCTAATTAACAATGTTGAGCATTTTGATTCGTATATCGAAATATTTAACCCAATTTCTTCTCGCATCGTCAACTCTGAAAAATATTACACATGCAGAAATAATACTAAAAAGAGGATAATTTTTTTTTATCCTCAGGCAGATAGCCATCTGCCCTACGTGAAACTAAAAATATTGGATGATAAAGGAAGAAATAAAATGGAGCAAGAGATGAGGATCGTCACCGACGCCATATTAGGATAGGCTATCCAAGAGAATAGTGAAGTAAAAGAAATGAGACAATAGAGGAAATGAGTATCACTACTAACATCGCCGTTGGGTAAGCCGTTCGAGAGGATAGTGAAGCTAAAAATGATGACGAAATCGGAGGGAGGATGACAAAGCTTTCATAGAAGTTACCCTTTTGTGAAATTAATATCTTTGGACGATCGAAATTATCTTTTATCCCTTTTTAGTATCATTTCTATACGTGACAATACGTGAAAATTATTTATTTTATTATTTGTATGTAATAAATCATGAACATTGACAAATTAAAAGGTTTAGCTAAAGTGTAAAACTAAATACAATTATTTTAGATAAATTTATTTTTGTAATAATCTCAATACATTGAGCCTTGTAAAAAAAAAAAATTCCTGAGGTAGCAATTTGTTATTCACTCAAATTAGTGATTCATATAATTATGCATTCATAATTTACTAATATGTAGTTCTTCTAACATATCATCTTGTCTTTTTTATTAGGCATAAGATAGATTATGCAGTGTTCCAATCAGAGAAATGTATAGAAAATGATAATTAAAGCATACAATCAAGTGGATTTTTATCTTATTTTATACTCAACCATATACATACCAAAGACAAGAGTTGACCTTATTATATGTTTCAGCCTCTATATTTTGTGTCCTCGAGTACAAGTATTTTTCTCTTATGAGTCAAACATAAGATGTTTGCATCCTCTAAATTTCATGTATCTATATTCTATGGATCAGCCCGTGAGGCCCAATCCATGAAGGCAAATATTTGAGAGATACGTGCCCACACGACCCAGCTTATGGGGCCCATCCACATAAATCTCGGAAAAGATCTCTGAGCTTCGGCTGTTAACTTCAAGAATCTGTGTTCATTCTCATCCACTTTGTCAGATCGAGGAATGGCCAAACCAAGATTGGAACCTTAGCTATCAAGATTCGGATGATTCCAATTTTGAGAATATAGCACATATGATGTGAAAGATTCTGGGTTTTGTTTTCTCTTTTTCCTTCTAATCTTCTATTAGATTCACAACCATAAGTTTTTTTTTTTTTGAAAGAATTATATTGGAATAATATTTAGTGAGCTGTGTGTTCGAAAATAGTATATATTATGACTGGATATGTTACAGCAACTCGACTGCATTGCTAAACGAATGAATCCCAACATCCACTTGGGATTCTAATTGTTGTGTGGGATGTTACATTCGAGACATCGCCATGGAAGGATATCAAACTTGCATAGTGATTCAGGCTAAGGTATGTTTCATAGGGGGCCGATGTTAAACTGTGTGTCACTGATATCATATCCGGCCGGACATCTCGTGCTCACGTTCCTGTGCTCGCATGGCCCGCATGTTGCTCTACACATTGATTGTATCCTTGTATGCGTCTTCTCCCTCACCTTTTCCATCTCAAAATGGAACATGATTGACGAGGTCTCGATCGCAGTGGTCCATCACAGTCTTGACCTTTTGTCCAAGCTCGGTCCTTGTCACAGTGATCAGTGGTACCACGTTGTCCCCATCGAGCTTGCATGGACCAGAGGATTGCGTGGAAAGAACAGGAGGGAGAGAGCGAGAGATCAACCGTGATGTTTGGCACATCGAGAGATCGAGTCACGCATGGAAAGAGTTTCCATAAAGGAAATGGGGAATCTCTGTACATCTTGCGACTCCTCCAGTGGTCTCTCCATCGACCAGTGTCATATCGGTATGTTGTGTCTGTTTCGCCCTACCGTGATCGTGAGTCTAATGTTTTTACATTGCTGAGATGAAGAAGATGTGCAGCGTTTGGTTTGGGGGGGGGTAATCATGCGGCATCGTGATGAACAGTGACGGGTTTTCCAGCCGTGTCCCTCAGGTTCCTACTTAAGGATGTTTCCTGCAGACAACAGGGACGAGGGAGAGGGTGGCAGGTCCCAGCGGAGCAGTGTGGAGGTGGTGCAGAAAGATAACTAAGAACGCTTTCTTCGACGTCGACTTCACATCATGAAGCTGCTTGGAAGAAACAAGAGAAGTATGATTAGAGTCAACTGTTGGACATGGTGTGCAGTTTGCGTTCCTGTTCCACAACTAAGCATTAGTTGTTCTCACATGGCTTGTCATCGGCAACCTCCACACTGCTAACCCCAAACCAGAGCCATTAAGTGCCGGCCGTGGATCGAAGTGCTTGAATTCGTAACTTAGAACAACAAGAACTGGATGGAATAGGAAGAAAGATTTTTTTTTTTGATCTTGTCGAGAGGATGAATCTTGATACGATGAAAAGATTGTTCATCTCTTATCTAAGTCAGGAACTAAATTGGAGAGTAAATACATATTACATGCATGCATAAATTGCAGGTTTGTTTCTATGTAATTCTTGGAAGCGGATGTGCCTTTCATCTCCCACAAACTCAATAACAGTTCTTTACCGAATACAATCTGCCAAACAAAGTTTCACTAATGGCATAGGTGTTTACTGAGAAACCCACCAGAACATGAACATTTTTCTTTGAGCAATTCATTACCTTGTGCTTAGTGTGCTGAAAGAACTGTTGACATTTCATAACTCATAATTGCTTGTCATGACATGTTGCCATCAGGAAGAAGAAATGTGCCATTTCCATATGCATTGGTTGTGGCCCTTCTGTTCTGGGTTGCATGGAAGAACTCAATAGCGACTGTGCTTGCATAGAAGTGCAGAAAAGTACTTCCAGGAAAAGCTCAGCTTTTCATTTTAAGAATCTCTCTCTCTCTCTCTCTCTCTCTCTCTCTCTCTCTTCATGTGATCAGAAGAACAATTGCTTTTCTTTCCTGCAATCCGAATGGTCGATTGATCTCTTTGCATACGCTGCATCTCCATCGACCATCAGTCTTATGGATCATGGCAAGTGGCTCCCACTCCAAGGAAATCTATGAAAGGTGGTGAGACACTGGTGCTCTCGGTGAATGGTGGTGATTCAGTAGAGGAAACTCTTGATATGTCAGAGTGGTAGCATGTTGCCGTCATCAAGACGGTCGAGGAGTGAAACCTCGAGGAGTCATCTGCTGGTCCACCCCAGAACACACTGTTGTTGCTACAGAACCCCGTGTTACTAGGGACATTGCTTCCTGCAACAGAGCCAACCAAACAAGGGAGAAGATTATTAGAACTAGCCAAAATGTTCTCCCAGTTGATATTGGAATCACTTATTATCATTTATCTTTTCTCTTCAAGAAAACTATACTTGATAGGAGTTGCTGGCTGAGAAGTGAAATCATGGGCATCTATCACTAAGAGAGAGAGAGAGAGAGAGAGAGAAAAAAGAAAAGAAAAAAAAGGCATAGAAGCATCAGTTTCAGCTTCTCATTTCGAGCCAAGCATATCGATAGGACTTGGCTTCTCATCAATTATTCTCATCTTAAGACAAGGAAAGGAAATGCTGATGTAGCCGATGACGATAGTACTGAGACATAACTCACCTAAAAGGAAATCGTAAGACCCTTCCTCCCCACTGGTGTTCAGTGTGGCTTCCTCCATTCTTTTGAGCCTCCTCTTCCTGCAAGCACTTGATTGCTCCCTGTACTTTCTGGCCATGAGCACATGCCAATGGTTCTTCACGGCGTTGTCAGTTCTACCAGGGAAGAACCTGGCAATCATAGCCCATTTGTTCCCGTACAGTCTGTGAGCAGCCATCAGCTTCTCCTCCTCCTCCTCGCTGAAGGCCCTCCTGTTGATCCTGGGGTCCAACTGGTTGAACCACCTCAGCCGACAGCTCTTCCCTTGAGCCACACCAAGCAAGCAAAGCACAAAGCAGCAGATCAGCACAAGCCATCGCCATAGTTTGACTAATGCAGAAAAGGCAACTTCCATGGAGCTTACCTGATCTACCATGTAACTTGGCAGCTATGAGCTTCCAGTTCTGGGGGCCATGGAGGGCTACCAGTTCTCTCAGCTTGCAGTCCTCTTCGGGTCTCCAGTGACTCCTAGCACAAAAGCTCGACTGACCACCGCCCTCATTTGCGGTCTCTCCCGATGCGTTGCCTTCTGCAGTGGCATCAGCGTGGCTGTCACCCACTTCATGTGGTGAACGGCTATCCACCGCAGAAGAAGGATTCATGGAGAGAGAGCTCATGAACAGCATATAAGACTCAGCACAGCACGAGTGTTATATATAGGAGATGGTCACATTGGCTTCTCCACTGTCCCAACAGTTTTAGCAGTTACCTCCTCTTCAACGAGCTTGCAGACTCCGTGGCGCACGTGTGGATGTCCTACTACCGCACGCTCGAGTTGAAGGCCTGAATCCAGCTATATCGATGCTTGTCTGTGTCTTCCTTGGAAGGGGTAGGTGTCTGGTAGTAGGAGCTCTGCAGAGGCATACGCCCACATTTCTTGTCAATGGCACGGCCTGTCTCCTGTTTCAGAAAACCTCAACTGGGACAATATATTTGCACGCCAAATATTCATCCCAAGAACTTTACCGTCCCATGTGGTTCTCTCGTAAAGCTGACCTGTCTATCCACAGCAGCAGCAACAACGAGATGCATCTTTCTGCCAGAACAAATAATGGAAGGTACCCTGTGGAAGATAAGTATCGATCAGGTCCACTTCCATTCATCTTTCATGTTCTTTCCCTTGGTGCAAGCTCCATAAATGACATCTGTTGTATATGGATGATCAGGAGCTCCAATCATGTCCAGAAAATAAAAGGAGGCACCATTTCTTTCTCCTGCCCCTTTTCCTTTGTTATATTGTGTACTTTGTTAAGAGAAAGAAGGTTGAGAATTCAAGTCCCAAGTACCCACCAAGAAACTCGAATGCATCCTTTTCCTTCCAAAACCCTAGCAGTCACTTGTAAGTTGTCAATCCATGTGTGTTGCTTATCAAATGTAAAGCAACCTTGCAAACATTGTACTTGCTTGTTAGTAGTTAACAATATTCCCATCAGTGCAGCTTAGCCAAGAACTGGTGACATTTTAAACCATGGCCCAAGCAACAGCCTGCGTGACAATAACTTGACTCTTGATTCCAAATCCCTGCTTCTTCCTCCTCAGTTGCTTCAGTAACCTGGAGCACCAAGTTTTGCATTCTGGAGCCTAAAACTGTACATGGATTGTCAACAGTGGAAAGCATTGAAAGGTTGTACGGTGTCAATATATCCGGAAAGGAACACTACAACAATAGCCAGCTGAAGAAAACAAAAACTTACAGCTTAATAAGTCCATGATGGAGCATTGACTGTAGAATTATAGGAAGAAGACACAAATTTGTGGAAGGATTTTGGAGCTCGAGCAAACGAAGCCAAATGTACATCTGTTTAGGCTGCACAAACCTATGCCGAACAGTAAATGTACAAGGCTTCCATGCAGAAGTTGGCAAAACGTAGGCCACAGTTGATGGAGAAGCCTGCATTGCAGCATGCATGGGAGCACAAAAGATCATACATCCAGTAACAACCACAACACCAATTAAAATTCACTGTTACATCTCTGTTTTCTTTTTTTTTCAAAAAATAATAAAGAAGTGTAATCCTAAACAGAAAATGATCAGGATCAAATGCTTAGGACCACCTTCACAAGAATTTGAACTTCACAACATATTGTTTATCTGAATTTATCAGTTGTCTATTTGTTTTCCATTCTTCATCCATAACATTTTTTTATATCTGGGCATACTTGAGACCAAGGCTTTCATGCATGCAAAATTGCCAGCCTTGGTGTTTAATGTGAAAATGCCTGATTCCAGCAGAACTTGTCACAAGCGATGTTTGAATTAATATCCAGCTAAGAAATGGAAATAGTGATGCAACTTCGCACAATCCACACCACTAATGTGTTAACAGTACAGTTGAATGCGTGGCCGAACAGGAGAAGAATAAGAATGGTCCAGGACTGACATATGTGGTGGAAGTGGCATGCATAGAAGATAACAAGCGTGACAAACCTGTTCTTTTGGGTAGAATACTAATTCGTGTGAGCACCTCTCCATCAGTTATGCTTCCATGCTAACAAACTTTCAAGTAATGATGTTGTAGAGCATTATCACCTACCAAAAACCAAAATATAGAAGCACACATAAGGCCCAGTTAACAGCTTCTGCAATAATTTCACTCAAATCACTTCACTGCTCAAGTCCATAGCAAACTAATACTACTAGGGAAGCATGGTTTTAACAATCCTACCTGTGAGACTTGGCTTCACCATCTTTTTAGCCCTGGATCAGATATAAACAGAAGGATGGGAAAAACGTCTCACCCTATGAAGAACATCAACTGTGACAGCATATTGCATATTCTCTATGGATGCACGAAGCACATTACTCTCAGGCTCCTTCATTTTCCCGTCAGGACCAAGAACAGGCTGAAGATGAATAATCATTAGTTATGAAAACTGACCACAAACATAATGTGGAAATTTTGAAATGTGGAAACAAACCTGTAAAGTACCCTCCATTGCAGAAGGATTCACAGGAAGGTAATCCGTGCATGATATTGTAAATTTTACAATCCACACCACTAATGTATTAACAGTTGTGTTTCCGTGCTAACATAACTGCACAGTTGCATCAGTATTTACAATATCTAGTATATCAAATTTTACAGTTGTAAATTTTTTTTATGAATATATGCTAAAGTTTTAAAACAAATACAAGATTAATACAATAAAAAAATTAAAGTCCAAAATACATATAACAGAGTAAAAGTTCTGACTGCTAGCTGCAGACTTGGTCTGCTAAAGCTACTGAACAGTCAGTGGCACTATGAATAACTGACGCGTTGCCGAGGAGCCTATAAAGCTCGGGGACAATTTTCTTTATCATTTTTTGTTCATTTATAATTTACGAATATTGTTCCGTTGCAAGGTTCACACTTCTCGTGTTTGATTCTTAACTGTATAAATAAAGGAGGGATACATAACATTTTATCATTTTTACATTGGCATGATCTACTTTTTTCATTTGTTTATTTTTTTATTTTATTTCCTTCGTGCAATGTTGTAGCATAATAATGTGATTCAAAAGAGTGTTGAAGATGATTTATACCACCTCGTCGCAGTACATTTGTGCATCATATGTCTCGAGAACTTCGAACAAGGAGAAGAAGAATGTTACCATGCGGTCACCTCTACTACACGGACTATCAGCCCGAAGCTGCCCTACTTGTAGGTTCTACATGTAATATATGTGAAAGTTAATTAGATATTTTGGGCTAAAAGAATTAGATATAGAGATTGCATGTAATTCTTTTAACTATAAGAGATTATATGCGGTCTCTATATCTAATTCTTTTAACCGAAACATCTAATTAACTTTCATATATTTTACGTGTAGAACCTACAAGTAAGGTAGTTTTAGGCTTCGACGATGTCCCACCACTTACAGAAGCAATCCATGTGATAGAGGTGACCACATGGTAACATTCTTATTTCTCCTTGTTCAAAGTCCTCGAAACATATGATGCACAAAGTACCTCGAGATGAGGTAGTATAAATCATCTGTTGCACTCCTCGAATCACATCATTATGCTGCAACCGAAGGAAATAAAATAAAAAAATTAAATAAATAAAAAACTAAGAAAAAAGTAAATTATGCCATTATGAAAATGATAGAATGTTATGTATCACTTCTTTATTTATACAGTTATGAAACAAACATGAGAAATATGAATCTTGCAACAGAACAATATTTATAAATTATAAATAAATAAAAAATGATAAAAAAAATTTATCGTTGAGCTTTGTAGGCTCCTTGGCGACACGTCAGTTATTCATTGTGCCACTGACGACCCAATAACTTTGGTAGATCAAATCTACAACTAGCAATCATAACTTTCACTTTGTTCAATGCATTTTATACTTTAATTTTTTATTGTGTCAATCTTTTATTTGTTTTAAAACTTTAGCATATATTCATGGAAAAATTTACAACTATAAAATTTGATATGATGCTAGATATCTTATAATCCATATGAGCACCTCTCCATCAGTTATGTTTCCATGCTAACAAGCTTTCAAGTAATGATGTAGTAGAGCATTACCAATTACCAAAAACCAAAATATAGAAGCACACATATGTCCTAGTAAACAGCTTCTGCAATAATTTCACTCTAATCACTTCACCGTTCAAGTCCATAGGCAATTAATACCACTAGGGAAGCATGGTCTTAACAGTCCTATCTGCGACTTGGCTTCACCATCTTTTTAGCCCTGGACCAGATATATAGGTCTGGTGGACCTGAATGGAGACAGTTATTAGAAATCGTGGAACCAACCATATGGTTTTGTCTTTCACCTCCACAAAAGTGGTCTGGAATAGAGGATGAATGGGCTCTGACATGAAAGGACACAGGATCGAGAAGCTGCAGTGGCAGAAACATGAGATTTATATTGGCTCATACTAACTGCCATGTGAATTGGAGGAACTGGTAAAGGATGAAAGCCCTAGAGTTCCATGGAGAACCAAAGAAAAGTCAGTCCAAATTGTAGCATAAAAGCAGATGAATATATCCTTTGTACTCATGACATTGCAGTTGAGGCACCTCCACTAACCATGATGAGATCAGGGTGCAGATGATGAATCTGGTAATTCAGCCCAAAAGGTCCATGTAGAATCAGAGCAAAGTCAGTCTAAATTGTAGTGCAAAAGTAGATGAACATATTCTTTGTACTCATGACACTACAGTTCAGATACCTTCACTAATCATGATGAGACCAGGGGTCCAGAAGCAGAATCTGGTAATTCACTGAAACAACTCTCAGTTGATGATATCAGAACATATTTCACTAACATCACTGGTTTGTCAGATGGTATGTATCCGGATCCCTAAAGATTCTTTAGGTTCCAGATTCAAATTCTCATTATGGAACCTCATGCGCCCATTGCTTCTTAACCCTTGCGACAGTTTCTTTTCCATCATCTAGGATCTAATCCATCATGTCGTGCCTTCAAAGAAAAAGGAAAGAAAATACATAAACACAATATAAACTTACATGGTTAGTATAAGCACATATATATGCTCTTATGTTGTATATGATATGCTCATGCAAAGTTGCAAAAGTAAAATGTTGTCAGTTAGCCAACTAATTCTTGAATTACAACAAAAATAACCAAAAACACATCTTTCGTCCATTTCTTTCCCTCTTACTATCTAGAAAGTCTAGAAACCTGGAGGGGAAAAAATATCACATCAGGCGGATTAACTACAAATACTCATGTACTTGGAAACCACCAACAAGCTTACGTTTCAAGTACCTGCAAAATAACAGTATAAGAAAGAAAAAGAAACATCCTAATGAAAGATCGATATCAACATGCCTATTCACCCTCACGGCCAACTAAATGTCAATCAAACAATAAAGTGAGACTAGAATGCTCAGTAGCCCACATGACTAGAAAGCTGGTTTAACATAATTTAGTGCAAACGAAAGCGAACACCTGTTAGGACCGTTTCGACACTAAGAGGGGCGGGTGAATTAGTGCTTTCGATAAAATCGTCGGTTTTGAAATATGCTTGACTTGGAGTAAGTGAACTAAGCAATTAACTTAGAGAGTAATAGCAATCAAAAGCAGAATGTAAATGCAAACCGAGTTTATAGTGGTTTGGTCGTCGTGACCTACGTCCACTCCCGATTCCTCTTCTGTCAAGGTCATCGACGTACACTAACGATCTTCTTTCGATTGACGAAGACCAACTACCCTCTTGCAACTCTTTCTTCTTTTCACAGGTTTAGGAGACAACCATCTCACACCTCTTTTAGAATGATTATAAAACTTACGGAAGAGGAGGAAGACAGTTAGTACTTTTTCAAGACTTCTACAACTCAAAATTTCAAGACTTTTGTTCTCACTTTCATGCATTGGCAAGCAGGAAAGTGTGGAGTATTTATAAGCCTCAAATGACTTCAAAAATGGAGCCAAAAAGTGTCTCATCCCGGGTTTCCGGGGTCCTGGTGATACCACCGCTAGTGTTGGGCGGTACCACCGCCTGCTCCCCTGACAACTGACGGTACTATCGTTAGTCTGAGCGGTACGATCGCCTGACAGAGCCTCGGAGACTGGGCTCTAACGGTACCACCGCCTGACAGCATTAACTGCCGATGGTACCACCGCCTAGACAAGTTCTAAGAGGCCGAGCCTCAGGTAGTTCCACCGCCTGACGTGGCTCCGGGTCACTGAATGGGCCAAATAGTAGGCCCAATTCAGCCCTAATTCAGGCCCAGTTGGCCCCTAATTGAGTTAATAGGGTTACACCCAAACCTAACTCAAATTAAGACCTAACTACGATGATTAAGACTTAAACAATAACAAAATAAGAAGCTAAGTTGTCCGGCACATCATTTGTTCATCCGAACTCTTGACGAACCTCCGACGCATTATCTAAACCTTCGGCGTATCGCCTAATCCACCGACATGTTGACTCCCATAATATCCAATCTTAATGCAACGTCCGATTCTTCCGACCCGATGCTCGTTTTTTTACTCTAGCCCAACGTCTGATTCTTCTTGCTTCAATTGTTTTGCCTTTTCATGATCGTGGTTAGTCCTGCATCACTTTTCTCAAAACATAGATTAGATCATAAACTCATCAATTAATTTCATCATCAAAATCCGAGATTCAACAACACAAAAACAAACTTGCAAAGCAGAATGAATAGAAATTTCCATAAAGAAATGTGACAAATGCATCCTCAAATTTGCTTGATTTTTCTTTTCCAAAGAATGTCATATATCTCCCTACATCATTTCCTGCCTCTGTATCTAATTGTCCTTATGATCGTCCAAACATGCTGAGTTTCAAACACCTTAGTGTCTCTCCTGGACATAAGTTTGATAATATAGATGCCAAGTTTATATATTTACTAACTTTCTTTTAAAACTCGATGCTAAAAGAAATTGTCATACTTACCTATGCTGAAAGCACTCTATATTGAGAATTTGAATTCATTAAAGAAGCCATGGTTGGGGTGACAAGATAACACAGTCATGAGCAAACATCAAAATGCACAATTAAAAGAACAAAAATGAGTCTAGGTTGCAGCTTAAGTCTGAGGTACTCTTCAATTTGGTCTCTTGCATAGGAAGTGGTGTCAATTGATGATTCTAAAAGCTACCAGAGGGCCTACCGATAGATGAGACAGAACCATCAGAGGCAGCAAAGTGATGGCTCTCAAGGGATTCACCTCTCTCTCGACTCCTGCTACTTGTACTATGCGATGAAGGAAATGATCCATTACATGCAATTCTACCATCACCATGAGACCCAAAAGAGACAACACTTGTGATCAGAAACCGAAGTCCCATCTTGTCAACAAGAGCAGCGAGAAGCTTGAGTTCGTTGGCAAAAATGGCTCGTTGGATTGAGGCCCTACATGCAATTACTTAAAAGGCCCCTCAGAAATCAATATTCTCTGCTTCTTGTCCATTTATAGCAAACAGAAGCAGAAGAGGGTGATATCAAAATAGCCTCTTGAAATTGCAACACGTAGAAATGAAGCAATCAAAACCCTCGATGCTTTGCTGCTCTAACGCCAACACCAACAACTGCAGCTTAGCAACCAAAGAAATGGTGCAGTTTCCTGGATATATCCAAAATCAAGAAGAGAGGGACAAAGAATAATCCTAGAGATACCCCGAAAGATTAATCTAGCATAAACAGGAACTCGAAACCAACCAAACAGATGAAAACGAAGACATTAACAGAAACCCCTTATGCCGATCTCGATTCTTTGAGTTCCCTAAGCTCTAACAAAAATTCAAAATCAAGTAATCATATATATATATGTATATATATATACTTTTTTCCATTCTGAGGGGAAGAACTTACACAGGATGTCGACGGACAGAATGGAGCAGTGAAGGAGTGAGACAGCGAACGGAATCGGAATAGTAGGGGAACAGAAACGAATCGCGTGGGAGTATATAAACAGCGCCAGGTTCGGAATGGGATGGAGGGCAAAAGAAATATTCTTCCACTAATACCCTCCAAGGAACGGTGAAATGCCAGTAATATAATAATTTATGGTATAAAAATTAATAATTATTTGATAATAGATTTTGTTGCAAACAAAATTGATTAATTAATATCGTATTAAATGCGTCATTCAACTTCAAGACATTACTTCATAATAATGAATGTCATGGGGACAGCATATGGTAAATTGGTTGAGGTGGATTTGAGGGTGAGGAGGCGCCATTTATTATTGATTAGAATAACTTTCTCTTTATCATCAACAACCGTCAAATTGTGCAGTTTGTATCTCAACATTAATGTTTGTGATTACCAGTGATCACATACAAACACCTGACCAAACACCAATTAAATTAGCGAGGATGCCGATAACACTTGCATCTCAACTTCATCATCAGCATTTCAAATATTTTTTACTAACCTTTCCCTAATCCTATGTGTTTGATAAAGTAGAACGAAAAAGAGCTTGTCATTGAGCTAACAGCAATTAGTCAAGCAAACAGAGAAGTTACTAGGATGACCGTTGAGCTAATTTTGCAAGGGCATTAGTTCGTTTTTGGTGATGATTACCAGAATTTTTCAGTCATCGCGGGCGAACGGTCAGAGAGCAAGAAAGATAACTCTTCCATCAGGAGCGAACATGGGGCGGCCATCTAACAAACAATTGGTTTCACTGGAGGAATTTGCACGACCTTGAACATGTTGTTCAAGCCATTTAATGTGTGCAATCTAAAGGACGTCCTCCTGCAAGAGGAACCAAACCACCGTGTACTATATATACCATTGCTGAAAACCACATTAAAAGATTTGGACCCATTTAGCTCAGAACAATCTAGTGCAATCAAATAACAAAGTTGCAGAATCTCCAAACAGTGGGTTGAGACAGCAGAACAAAATAGGGAGTGCCAGGGTGGATTTAACTGAGTAGCAAACTTAGAAATACCTAGGAGGATGTCCGATGAATGGTGCGCCCCTGGCCGTAGCAGGCCTTGGCTGAATACCATACTGGGGCATCTGTTGTGAAGCTTGGACATAACCAGCTGATGCAGTGGGACGGGCAGCTGAGGCTGGGTACGGTGCACCAGCAGAAGGACCAAATGGCTGGCCGGGGAACGTCCCACCCATCGACGCATAGTTGGCCTTATTTGGATCCCAAGAAGGCATCTGTCTGTTTGGAAATGCCTGTTGCATGCCCACGTTGCTAACAAAGGTTCCTGCCACATGAGGATTAGCTTGCAAACCAGTGGAAACAATAGTCACGGAGGAACCTTGTGGCGCTGCAAGTATCCCTGTGTCAGCAACCGTGTAGTCCCTGCTCTTGTCACTATATGCCTGAAAGTAATGCACATAGAAAGTTCATGTTAACATTAGAGAAGAATAGAATATGAGATTATGTCATATGGATTAATGGCGGAGAACAAAGGGTGTTTGCTGATGGTACAAAGATTAAATATGATAAATTGATTTTACAAGGAACTGAACATTCTATAAGCAATCTAGTTTGGAAGATACGACAAGTAACAAATAAAGAAACCATATTAATGTTTTCATATTTTGTTTCTGGACTTCCCAAAAGGAAATGAATAAATATTACACAAATGTCTCAATTTCCAAGTTTCTTGCTTGATAGAGCAAATTGAATGAAATAAGAGCCAAAGAGAGTCTTTAAATGATATCCTCAGTTTTTTACTCTATATAACCCATAAACATTATAGATGTACCTTCACGTTGAGATCCGTATGACGAGAGTATGACAGATGAAGCTTACAATAGCCACCATCATAAATGCAATGTCCCTCCAAAGCCTCTTTGGCAACTGTTGCAGTGGTCACATCTGATAAAAAATGAAAAGTGATATCAATTTCTCTAGCAGACAAATCCTTGAAAGAAATAATCTTCTTTGTATTTTGTAGGAAAACAAAATTGAAAAATACGTACAGAGAAATTTTGAGACATCAAGGCCGGTGAAAAATAGCATTTCAAATAAAATATAGAATTCTGGACAAGAAAACTACTGTTGTTCAAGTCAAAATTCCTTCTGCTATTTTCAGGAAGTCACAGCATTTAAGTGTTAAAGTGAAACTACATGCTTGATGTCCAAGGTGAATTCAAGCATAGAGAGAGAGGATGCAAGATTAGTACGGTTCATAAATAAAATCAGAAGCTAAACTAAAGGTTACAAAAAGCACAAAGGTGAAATCAAACCTCGAGGGACGAGGACACCATAAGATGAATATGGTCCATATCTAGAATCAGAACATAAACTACGACATAAACAGAGCATAGTATCCAAAAGAAGGGAGAATTTTTAAAAAGGATATGGATGAATTAACCAACGAGCATGGTTATTTTTAATGTGATAATAACTTGGTAACTCATGTGATAGGGAAAAGTGATCCTATCTAGTGAGAAGAGAATGGGCAAACAAAAACTTCAAAAACAATCATAGAAGACTTTTTTTCAACTATTGTTAATTGTCACATCCTTTCACAAAAGAACTAAGGAATTTCAGGTCCATTCATCTCCTACCATAGCTTCCTACGGCATCTTCCAGCTTATAGTGAACAACCACAAACTCCAAACTAGTTGTCTATAAGATAAGCTATCTTGACTGCATACACTCAGCAGGTTCCTGACATACATCTAAGTCATCACCATCTTCCACACAGTCGTAAACCATGAAAAGTGTTCCAACTCTATCCAATATGGGATTAGGCATCCTCAACTGACTCTATCCTCACCATTTGAGAGTCTAAGACCTCTTCGCTCCATCCATCTCAAACTCCCGCAACCAGTATAATTAGCAAGAAAACGTCCTTTTTTTCATTTTTCTTTCCTGTTAAAATTGCCAGCAGCCTCTGCATCACATGCCCCGCTTTCTATATTTCAGTATTGACCCTATTTCCACCTCTACTCCAGCTCCTAAAGTATCCATTGCTGCACTACCCAATAGGTGCGAGAGGATGGTGATGTTTTGCCATATTTATCTGATCTGGATTACAAACAGACACAGTCAACTCAATTCTCGCCCAGATCAATAGATCACCAGAAAAATCATTCAAAGTCAGCCAGGAGAAACTAATTCAAACCATTTGAGCCCAAAATAGGTAATCATGGAGAGGCAAGAGAGAAGCAGCTACCAGTGTCATCAACAACCAGCAAAAGTGCAAGAACATAACAGAATTGAACATAAGTCCAGTGCCACCGCCTCTGCACCCGGAGATGAGAAACAGCAAGGAGAGAAGACAAAGAGGGGGACATGGAAGTGACTTCTGTGACTTAAGCACAACTCCTTTGATTCTGTATTTTCAGATTTTTGACTATGCAATATTTCAAAAAAAAAACACACACATAAATTTGATGGGTAAGCAAAATATTTTAGGACATATTCTTTTATTATTTATAATTTACCTTTATGTTATAAGAAAAAGCAAGTTTTACTTTTGTTATCTAAAATTTAGAACATGAACAAGTCCACTCGATCCCCATGGTCTCAAACGGCTCAAATCTTGCTTCATACCAGTCGAGAGCTCATAGGAAGTACAGGGAATATGAAGCTGGTCCCAATCATAGGAACCTTTGATATGAAGAAAAAACAAGTAAACAAAACAGGTCTTCAAAGATAAAAACAGAAAAATTTGGAGCTGATGTTTCGAAGGCGAGAAAATTTGAAGTCAATTGAAAGAACTACTGAAGTATGCAGCACGCTAGAGGAAGTAGAAATCCATAGTTTAGGAATTTTGAGAAAGAAGAAAAAGAAAATTTTGAGAGATGATAAAAGGGAAAAAAGATATAGGTATTGGAAATCCAGAGGAGAATGGAGAGAAAGGCACATTAACCAAGAGAAAAATTATTCTTTTTTTCAATTCCCAACATCCAACCCTAACAAGGGCCACATAATAACAGTTCATATTATTCTATTCTCATTAGGACTCTTGAAAGAGAAAACATATTAGCATGAAAGGAAAATAACCAAAGAACACAGCCAATTACGGTGATATTAGAGAGTTCGAGCTTTGGCAGTCTAACAAGATTATATTAAAGTGCCAATATTGAACCAAAATTTTCTTTTTTAGACTCTTGCAAGACTACTGGTAGGCCAATACAGGAAAATATGGATGAAAATAGAAACAAAATGGATGAAAGGGTTAGCTTAAGTCTAACACTTTGAACCTCGACTGCATCTGGTTCTAAGCCAGGGACAGTGGGGGAAATTGGAAATCATAAGGGGTAGTGGAAGTGAAGGCGCTGGAAAGAGGTGTACATTTTTTGTTTGAAGGTCCTGGTGCCAAAAATCTCCTACATCTTTAAAATATAAAACCATTTAATAAAGGAACTTTCCTTTTGCAAAACTAAAAAAGGGCATATAGTTCAGCAGAAACCTCCTACCTGGATACTGAATTAATGCCTGAGTTCCACCATTTTTCTCAAATATTGCAATTTTCTGGACAGTACCAAAAGCTGAAAACACCTGAATGAAAAAGCTCGAGTAAACTTCGCATTGTTATTTGACACATAAAACAGAGCGATAGGAGAAATGTCTCACTGTGTGAAGAACATCAACTGTGACAGCATATTGCATATTCTCTATGGACGCAAGCAGCACATTACTCTCAGGCTCCTTCATTTTCCCGTCAGGACCAAGAACAGGCTGAAGATGAATAATCATTAGTTATGAAAACTGACCACAAACATAATGTGGAAGTTTTGAAATGCGGAACCAAACCTGTAAAGTACCCTCGATTGCAGAAGGATTCACAGGAAGGTAAGGGTTAGTGAAATCCCTGCATGATATTATCTAGCATCAGATCAAATTTACAATTGTAAATTTGTCCATGACTATACGCTAAAGTTTTAAAACAAATAAAAGATTAACACACTAAAAAGTTGAAGTCCAAAATACATAGAACAAAGTGAAAACTGCAAAATATAATATTTGATGGATTGATAAGAGCTTCATTTAGATAGCACATCATAAAGATAAACGAAAATTACAACAACAATGACAAGCCATAATGTCCCAAAGATTTGTGAAAATTGTAGCTATTAAAATAATGATGCAGGTAGGTACAACAGACTTCCAAGAATAAGCAGTGCACATCAATAGAAACAATCTAGGACTTCACATGATACAAATTGTGTGGGAAAGTAAATCACCATACAACTGTTTCAGTTACGAGATTCCAGACCTCCATCAAACATAAATATATGCCAGAAACTGCAAGAATGTGCCGAAGCCAACTGATATAGAACTTTTTAGCCTGATACTTACGATGGTGTTTCACATTGGCCATTGTCATCTAGCTGCTAAAGGTCACAATTAGGACTTTGTTATATAATTTGTCATATACTGTTAAGAAGTATGTCAAGTTAGAGAGACTAACAACAAAACTGTTTCAGATAACATACAAGACCTAATTTGCCTTTGTATTATGCTAAATCTAAATTAGTAAAACATAAACATCCAAGTCTACAAATATTACATGTCCATCATGGTCTAATGGGTCAAAAAAAACAACAAAACAAAAATTGTCCAGTGTGGTTGCTGCATGTAGATACCTGCTCCGATGGGACTGGAATTTGATATTTAAATCTGTATGTGCAGAAAAAGAAATCCGCAAGTGGCAAGATGTAACATGCTCTGGAAGCAAGTACCTGCAGTTCATGAAAACACAATATGCTCAGCAAAAAAGCGGGAATGGTGAGGAGAGAGTGTGACAGAGGGAGAGAATGTATTGCTTCTTCCAAATGTGTTCAACTGACAGAAACTGAGACAACCTTGGGATACTTCTTCCATCCAAGGCATTTCTAGCTTCTGAAGCAGTTGCTGCATCAGTGTACTGGATCAGAGCCTAAGAAAAAAAAGGGAAGCATAACAATGAGTTGCAGTCCTAAATTCATGTCCAGAATAGTGAGCAAAATACACTACCTGAAAACCAGCAGCCTTTTCAAAAGTAGCAATTTTGTGAACATATCCGAATGCAGAGAACACCTGAGAAAGAAGATGAATCAATACTCCTAGAAAATAAAGGAATGATGCTATGGTAATCAAATGACATCAGGTCAGATGGAAAATGAAGCGATCTCATTTGTAAGTGCAGAATGGCACCTGTGGCACAATGGCCTTCATCATGACTCCAGTGGCAACATATATGAGCAAATTTTTACTTAATGATATGAACATCATGCATGGACCAAATTATTACTCGCTGCTTCGACAAAAGAAAGACAAATATAACTATCCTCCTTAAGCAGAATAATTAGCAAATTACATCATTAGTAGAAGAAAATCTTGATATCTAACAACATAAAAGAATCATATCAACCAATAAGAAAATATTAAAAGTTTTTGAGAAATCCTAGGGAGTGGAAGTTTAACCTCCAAAAACAGCTTCACACACAAGGTGAGTGTAACCTACAACTTAATGATGATGGGAAAAAGCAGTTAGAGATTAACATTCATCAAACAGTAAGATTCAGAGACTCATAACAAAATAGTCAAAAGAATGAGATAGTAAAACAAACATGGTATCTCTCCGAATGTAGATGCTGATAACGAGATATACTCCGTGTTAAAATGGACCTGGTAACCCATTCAGAGCATGTTACAAGAAGTCAAAGAAGTAAAACAAGATTAGCTTCGAGACACATATCACATCAAAAAAAAAAATCCCCTATATCATTTCAACTTTAAGACCATCCAAATTACTAGAACTGTTTAAAGCGTACACAAATTTTTATCTTAAATGCAATGACAAGATTTTAAATTAAAAAAAGTAAGTCACTGGACTCACCAAATGAATAACTTCGATGCTGACATCACCAGCTTCCACGCCCTCTATGGTAACGAGCAAAACATTCCCAACAACCTCACCGGAGGCCTTGTTGTTTACAATTTCTTGCCTGTTTGAATATTGTATGTAAACAGTTTTGCCACGAACTTGTGCAGGTTCAGATGAAGATGCATAATATGAGATCATCGAGATTGCCTGATTAAGTTCCGCCTGAAAGAAGGTGTCAATAACCAGTTTGGGCTATCATGTTCCGAAGACAATGCAATACTCTAAATGCTCTTTCTAACAAAGCAACAAATATGTGGAGGGGGAAAGGCAACAAGTACCACAAGAACGACAAGAACCTCATATAAACAGGTAATCTTTATCCTTCTTCTAGAAAAGGAGTGCGAAAACCAAATCAAGAAAAGGAAAACAAAAGCATAAGGAAGAAACTACATATATCTCCTATAATGAAATATGTTATTTCCTACCAAAACGAGTATAGAATGCTTTAGATCAGTTGGAGCTAAAAATGTCAACCAGGCCACTGCGATATCATAATCCCAAGTACAAAAAGCATGATTATAGCCCACCAGAATATGGCAGCAAGAAAAAATTCTCAAGCATGTCTTGTGGTTCCAAATTTGGCTCATCCCCATCCTTTCGACAACCCATATACCGTGATAGCATTCGATATGATCCATCAAGGACACATCGATTCAGTATCAGAAACCCTTAAAAGCAATCTCAAGTTTGCGATATTCACCGAAACATCCAAGAAATGGATCCAAGAAGACCAGTTTGCGATCTTCACCAAAAGTCTCAAGAAACGCATCAAACAATCAGGCTCCGGCACTTACAAACTCAACAAAGGCCTGGTTGTGATTGGCGCCGACGTTGCATTTGGTGTTGACGATCTTGCCGAAGGGCTTGCAGAGCTCGACGAGCTCCTCCTCCGTGCACTCCCACGGCAGATTCCGGAGGTGGAGCACCTTCGACGGCGTCTGCGTGTACCGGAACTGCGGCTGCCCCGAGGAGGACATCTCCGAGCAAAAGGTTGCGGAGACGCCTCTCCGATCTGCCTCTACGACGATCAGATTTCGACGGACGTCAACACGAAATCGGCGAAATCGGCAGGATTTTCTTTGAGGAATGTCCAGCCAGGTTAGGGCAGGGATCGGGGAAGAAGAACCGATCGATAAAGATATCGAACCTATTTATCGGATGACGTTTTACCTATCTCTTCTTACAAAGGTAGATAATTTAAGTGCAAATTTCCCAAATAAAAAATAAAAATAAAAGATTTTATTGGAATAATAAGATTAAATATTTTTATTTTTACAAATAT